TGATTAAAGTATATTTCATATAAAATGCCCAGAAGTTCCAAACATTATTTTTAATATCACAAACAGGAAATTACTCACATAATACAATGAAACGAATAACTGTATACAACTAAATTACACAAGATTAATGTTTTTAAAATGCTTAATATATCATTATAAAATGCATACATAAAGTATGACCTATCATGTGTAATAAAAGCAAATTACCCCTTAAAAACGATAAGGTGGCGCTACTCTGTTAAGAACGTAAGCTCCGCCCCTCACTTCCGGTTCTATGGCTGCGGTTCTGAAACTGCTGGTGCTGCGGGGTCTGCAGATACTATTGGTGCCATCACTCATTCATTGTTGTTATAATGCCATTTTTCCTTTTGCTTTAGTGTGATTGAGAGCATTTGTAACTGTGGTGATTGGCACAAAAACATGTCCAATACTGAGTGCCTGAGCAAAGATGGCAGTTTTCAAATTGTGTATGTCTGGGTCTTGTGCCAGCCGAGCAAATACCATTGAAATGAGAGGAAATTACCTACTGAGAGATTGCTGTTGAGATTTTAATTCCCTCCTCCTTTAGCAACAACCTCCTTGCAAAGCTTGTATTTCGTTGTGAAATTCTCACAAAATAATCTGTGCCAAATAAGTTCAGAATGAATAATTATTGCAGTAATAAAAGGTCTTTTTGGACTGGGGAGGATGTTTTACAAGCTCAAGCTCTTTATCTCAAAACATTAAGGAAAATTTCCTTGCACATGAAATGACCCCATTAAGACGAGTGTGAGATTTTATACTTTTCTGTCAAATCTGATATTGGGAAATAGGAAATGAAAGAGCAGGTGTGGGAGTGTATGTGAAATTATCTTGAAAATGTTCTTCAGCACAGTTGTCTTTCACCTAGTCAGGATGTAATGGTTTTAAATTCTTACACTTCAGAAACAGGTTTTTCTTAGCGTGGAAGCCCACGTCAGAGCAAAAAATGATGCGAATATGTTTCTCATAAATGCAGATTTATTCCTCACGACGTGACTTTATATCTTGCATGTGTGACTTTATTTCTTACTTTAAACTTAATTAGAAACAGGCTTTCATGTGAAAGAGACATTGGATTGTTTCATGATAGGTTTAGAGAGCATTTGCTTTAGTGTGATTGAGAGCATTTGTAACTGTGGTGATTTGTGACTTTATTTCTTACTTTAAACTTAATTAGAAACAGGCTTTCATGTGAAAGAGACATTGGATTGTTTCATGATAGGTTTAGAGAGCAGAAGGCTTAGAGAGCAGAGAAGAAGATATGAGATCACATTGATTTTTGTACCATTTTTGCTATTTATTAGAGAGACACAAAAATCCTTCCAACTTTAGTACAAAGGTCTTGCTTGGGTTGGTGTGGTATGATTTCAATTTCACTGGTAAATAACTGTCAGAACAGATGTGGACTTGCAACTTACTGTAAAACACCTGTTAGTGCTGTCAATTGTTATAAGAGTCTCTATATATTGTATAGTCTGACATACTACTTGAGTGAGCCGTTCAGTTTCACTTATTGTCCAACACACTGCATCTTGTATTGAGTGGAGATGATGTGTGGAGGTTCAGGAAGGCTTTTGAGTCACTGCATACATTGTATATCATCTGAAAAGGTGAAGGTTACTCTGAATAAAATTGTGCACATAATGGAACTATTCTTATGCTATAGGACGTTTTGCCGCATGGCTGCTGTTCTTCTCCTAGTGGGTCACTGAGTCTTGAGATTTGCCTGAATGGTGACTTTTTCACAATGAGCCTGAAGGGTTTGCTTGAGTCACGAAATGCCGTTGAGGTTATAGAAACATAGCAGAATGTGTTTATTATAGCAGATGTCATTGTTTCTGTGCTTTAAACCTGGCTTGGATCACGGTCCACCACTTTCTAAAAAAAAAAGTATTTATTTGGTATTAACACAATTTTTTCTTAGTGTGAAGATTTTAATACTCATTCTACTATAAAGAACCTTTTGTGCAATAGATAGATTCCATAGATGAACCATCAATGCCAATAAAGAACCTTTATTTTTTAATTTAATTGAGTATTTAAATTTGAATCTTTTCTGGTGCTTGTGTGTTAAAATCTCACTGCCAGTATTGGAGTTTGGAGTTTTTTTTATTTCGGCCGCAAAATATGTATGGGGAGTCTTTTTAAAGGGGTCATAGGATGCCCATTTTCCACAAGTCGATATGATTCTTTAGGGTCTTAATGAAAAGTCTGTAACATAGTTTGGTTAAAATTTCTCAATGGTAGTGTTAAAAACACCTTTTTTACCCTGTCAAAAACAGCTCTTTTCAGCTCAAGCCATTTTTTTCATTTTCCTTTAAATGTTAATGAGCTATGCTGACCCCGCCCCTCTCTTCCGAGCCACAATCGCTTACTTGTCTACATCTGCTCCAG